TGGGTTGGGCTCTTCGAGTGGTCAACAATGACGAATAGTTTAAAGGCAGTTTAGAGGTAGTTTAAAGATGATGGAGGTGGAAGAAGGAAGCCAGGAAATTTCAAAAAATGGAGAAGGGTTTTACAGTGGTGGAATTAAGGGAAAAAATGTGAATTTTGAGTTAATATGTGAAGGGTAATTTTGTCATTTTACCATTTTATTACTTCATTTTTTTTTTTTTTAAACATGGATCAAAGGCCTTTTGTCCAAATTTATTGTTGAACCCGACTATTTGACCAAAATCCCCAATTAATATGGGTCAAATGGGAACTTAAAATTAAATAATGTTTGTGTGCCGGAAGATGTATGCCAGTGAGAATGATAGAATTTGGGAGGGATTAAAATCAGATTAAAATTGAAAATATAATCGTTATTATTGACTTTTATTAGACAAGTGGAACCCAATAACGACTATATTTTCAATTTTAGTTGGATCAAAATCTCTCCAAAACAAGCTCTATGTGTTAACATTTGATGAAAAATTGACTGTATTTTAAATCGATCAATACTAAAAGTTATCACGTGACGTTATTTAAAGAATAGGTCAACTAGAGGTGTCAAAACGGACGAGCCGGCCAGACCTGTGAAAATCGGCCCGAATCGACTTGGGACCATGGGCCGACTCGTGACCCCAGCGGGAGGTTCAAGGGTAAAAAATGTGTAACCTGCGGGTTTCGCGGGTTGGACCTTCACGGGCCGCTATTAATCTGTTGGCCCATGAAAAAAAATTAAAAAAATTTGAACGAGGGGGGAGGAGGGGGGCTCTTTCCCCAACTAGCTTGCTCCAGCCTAGTTGGAAAACAAATATTAAAATATATAATTTTTGAACAACTAAATATAGTTAAGACTTAAGTAGGTGTCAACCTAGTTGGGATGTACTTAAATTATAAATTATAATAAAAGTTGGTGCCAATCTAGTTGAGATGTACTTATACTATAAATATTTGATAATAATAATTAGACATGCATTTAGTTGTTATTTATTTAA